GGTTAATCACAATTCATTATGATTAATGCGATTAATCGCTTCAGCCCTACCTCTTGTGTGTGGTTTGTTTACATCATTTAGGTTTTTCCCTTAAGGTTTAGTTGATATAAAATGGAAATACTGAAGAGTAAATTGTTTTGGAATAGATTAAAGAGCAGCAATGGTTTCTTACAACCAAAATCTGACTTTTTGTAAAACCAAATATTTAGGGAGTTTCTTCAGGGTCATATTTAAACATATTTCAGTGTGTTGTTTTTTCTTTTTGCATGTGTTCAGTACCGGGGTTACATGCCGAACAGATTGCAACGAATCTCCCTCTGATTTGCCCTTCTGCCATGCGGTTCGCAGGGTGTTTGCTCCGTGCCACAGGTCGTGGGAGGTGCAGTAGCTGTTCTTGTGAGTCAAGTGTTAGAGCAGAGGCTTTCTCTGCAACGTGTGACATGAAGCGGCCGAGCAGGAGAAGGAGTTTAATGCAGCCTTGGTACGAGCGTAGGCGTCTCTTTGGTAATACTGTGGCCTAAGTGGAGACAAGTAGGGGGATGAGGCTTCTACACCCTCTCCTTTTATATCTCTCCCTTTTTTTAGTTTCTCTATCAGCAGTGGCCTCCCTCTGTTTTTAATCCTATTCTTTATAGTCTGGTAGCCCAAGGCAACGGACAAGGCCATGCTAGCTAATGTGTGCATGAGCAGCGCCTGTTGGTACACAAGCAACGCAAGCCTTGCTGACGAGGCCTGAGTGGATCACACTGTTTGTTCATTCTACCATGAAATCAGAAAATAACTCTTACTCTTTGTGTGTTTTCCTCAGAAATCAGCTCTTCAGTAAATCCAGTTTGGCTCGGATTTTCCCATAGTTGGTTGAAAAAGCAACAAAACATGTAGAACTTGATTCTCCAGATGAGTTAGCTCAGGATAAATGATTTACACCTCCTCAACGCTTTCGTCCTGGGGTTTCAGTGTCTGTGTTTGAAGTTTCTGTATCGTGTGCGCACTGATCAAATTTCTCTCGTCTCACCACCTTGGGAGGATATTTCAGTTACAAAGGTGTGAAGCCAGATTTTCACATTCCTTGCACAGAAGGGAAGGATGTTTCCCTCATTGACGATGGTGTTGGAGGATTGAAGACCACATAAATACTAATAACTTTGCAGTAATAGAAGCACAATCCTCTTTTTGGTTGGGATAAACTGTTATATATTGGTTAAATCATGTAATCTACACCTTGCATCTTCACAGATCCTGTTCTGTACCCTCAACACCCACAAGATTGACATGGAGAAGCTGCTGGGGGGGCAGATCGGCCTGGAGGATTTCATCTTTGCCCACATTAAAGGGATCAAAAAGGAGGTGGAAGTGTATAAATCTGAAGACGCCCTTGGCCTCACCATAACCGACAATGGAGCAGGCTATGCCTTTATAAAAGTAAGAAGAAAACCTTTTTTTTGCAAACGAGACGTTGGAGACATGTGAAAGCACCAACTGTGATGCAGTTACAGCAAACGTCTAGTAATGCTGTGAGCACAGCTTTTTAAATTTTTTTGTTTTTACAGTTGTATAATTGAGCACAGTGTCAGTTATTATGCAAAATTCACATTCTGGATGTTTTTCTACTTCCATTTGGGTTTCAGCTGCTTCTAAAAACAACCTAAGCACTTAAAAAAAAAAAAACACCTGTCCATTTTTTGGCAACAAGTTAAATTTTTTTGGTGTCTGGAAAATGAGCTGTTTTGAAAACCTCCGGATTGTTTTGCATATCTGATGTGGACTGCGCCGTTACCTAGCAACCCAAACTGAGTTCCAGAATATTTGGTCAGCTGTTTTTTCACTGTATGTGCTGTACAATGGCTGCTGGAAAAGACAAGTGTTTTTGTTGTGCTGTGTTCTTGTTGGTTGTGCGGGACGCTCCAGTTCTGCTTTTCAAAGATGTACGGTTGTATAATTGAGCATCTGTTTGCAGCCATTTTTACCTGTGAGTTTAGAGGCGTGGCCAGTAGCAGCTTATTAGGATTTAAAGTGACAAGATGCCCTAAAACAGCTCAAAATAGACATAAATATTTAAGAATTATATTGTTGCAAAAACTTTATTTGCAATTTGTTTTGTATTGCTCACAGACCTATCCTGACCTGTTCAGGGAAGCATAATAGGTCACTTTTAGGGAAAAAAATGGTATTGACCAAAACCGGAATGGGTATGTAAGGTTTTGTTTTTAAAATTGGTGACCGGCCAGAAAACTGCAATCAGTGCAGCATTAATCTGATGTATCTATTCTTTGTCAATATTATTTAGTCATTTATAAGACCGATTAAACCCCACTGACTTGTTAACATGTTCCCTACTGTAGAGTGTTTTCATTGTAACCTTGTAGAGCTTCACCATGGTGCATTCACGGACTGAGTGAAGATTGGATTTTTAATTGCCGACAGGTTGGTCAAAGGTCAGAGCTAAAAACCTGCAGATTGGGTTCACCAACCGATTTTTGCATCCATATTTATTATCCTGTTACACAAGTCATTATGCTGGTACCTTTATCATATTATTGATTCCAAACACTGACTGGTAAGCTATCACAATCTAACATTAAATAGGGTTTTTATAGTAACATGACAATTACGTCACAGGCACACATACATGCTGCATATTTGTCATTTTAAAAATGGTAAAATAAGAAAAAATGACAGTTTGAATGTATTTTTTCTGATAGCTTTAAACTTAATTCAGCTTTAATATTAAAAAGCTTCTTCCTGCCTGTCCTAAAACAAACATAAAACAGCAGAATCTCAGGACATTACAGTGTACTTTAAGTATTTTAGATAACGATACCTTCATCCGGTCCTCTCTATTCTGATATGACCTGAGTGCATTTCTTAAAAATGCAATCATGAAACACAGCTAAAATCTCAAGCTCTTATCTGGTTTAGTAATACAGGCCTGATATCTCTGGTCTCGACCAACTCGTTTCTTTCTTCTGGTAGCTTTTCAAACCTTTATGTGTTGTGAGTCATGATGCATTGTGATGTGTCACCTTGTGTAATGGTTTTATCCGAGGGATCAATCTGCTCACATGCGACATCATGTGCTGCTGCTGCTGCTCTGCAGCTCCACAGCCTGACAGGGACGACTGCAGGGCACAGACGTAGAGTTGTAACATGAGAAATATTAATAACTTGTTCTTTGAATATAATCTAGCAAGGCTGTCTGTATTTTTACAATATCTATTTACTAAATTGCAGAAAAAGCTATTTTGTTAACAGGTTTTATTTAGGGAAATGTTTGAATTTGTGTAGAAAATTATATAAGAGAGCACAGTTTGCAACCTGAAGACAAAAACAATATGCTGGGCTTGCATTTATTTATTACATTTACATTTAAAACATTGCTTAGTTTGTTATTTTATGCATGAAGTTTAATACCCAACAGCTTTCTTTCTGCACATTTAATACCCAACATCTTTCTGGCACTTGTAGAAACTTTCAGCCTTTGCCTAAACCTGCTTATCTTTGCAGAATCTTTGGGAGTCTTTTCGTTTGTTCATTCTTTCTTCCTTTCATTCTTTTTTTTCTTACTTTTGTGCTGTTGCATTTTTTTAGTTCTTCATTTCTACTGTTTGTTCCTTTTTTCTTCTTCAGTTTCTACGTTCTTCCTTGTGTCTCTTTTAATTTTTTCTTTTGTCCTTTTATTTTGTTTCATTCTTTCTTTACTTTCTTATGTCCTTTCTTTTATTTCTTTTTCATTTTTCTTTTTGTGTTCCATAAGTACTTTCTTTCCTTCTTTCTTCCTTCTGTCGTATCTTATTTTTCCTTTCATCCTTTTTTAGTCCTTTTGTTTTTCTCAATTTTTTTCTGTCGTTCTTTTTTTCTTTCATTTGTCCCTTTTGTTTTCTTTTTTTTTACTTTTGTCCTTTCTTTCATTCCTTCTTTCTTTCATTTTTTCTTTGATTTATTTCTTTTCCTTGCCTTTCTTCATTTTTGTTCTTTCTTTTGTTCCTTTTTTCTTGTCCATTTTTTCTTTTGTTCGTTCTTCCTATCACCCTTTTCCTGTCGTTCTTATTTTAATCTTTTCTTTCTTTTGAGGATTAGAACCACTGAACAATCCTCTTTCATATAAAACTCTGCATTCAGCTTCAACGTTTTTCTTCTTTTAATCTTAGCTGCATATTTAAGAGCCAAAACCTCATTTTGCTGATTCATCTCTCGCCTGTGATGTTCCAGTCTGCAGGTCATCATTTGTTAGTAAAAGCAGCATTCCTCTAGCCTCTAATTTATTTCTGTTTTATCTATTCCTCTGAAAACTGAACATGACCTAAAATTCCTCACTTCAACCTTTTAGTTCATTAATCTCAGTTTTCCTGATAAGAGTGAAATTTATTACCTCTGCTTTCTGGAAATTACAACTTCTTCACTTGTGTATGAAAGTCATCTAAACAGATCCAGTTAAAAAATGAAGGAATTCAGAACTGTTTAGATTCCCTTTGGAAAGCTTATAATAAAAACTCATTTCTACTTTGCTGTTTCAAACTAATTTCACATTTATTTTACACAAACATCTCGTGCATCAAGGAAAGCCTCACCTCCAAACATACTTCTTTTTTTAATTTGTTGGTCAGCAGGTTTTAGTTTATGATGGGCCTGAATCTTGGAGGTTCCTGGTTGTTTCTGGCCATCCTAACCAGTTTCCTTTCTAGCTGAACAGTTGGGTCAAATGTTTGAAAGTTGGATTCATTTTGGTGTTTAAGTTGGACTCTGATCCCAAGAAAACAACATTTTTAATGGATAGCTGGCTGTTGGCACCGCTAGCTAAAAATGTAGTTGTGCTAACACTAAAGCACTAATCATGAACATTAGTTTCACTAATGCTAAAGTGCTACACCAGCGTTGTATTAAGCTAAAGTTAAAGTGCTAACTTCAACCAGACATGTTGCAACACAGTATGTCGCCCTCACCAGGGTCAAAGTTGTTACTACACTTTAACCCTACCCTAACCTAACTTACCTGTAAGGTTGCACTTCAGGAAGTGATTCTTTGTAACAAACCTTTCACTCATGTTTTTAGTTTTATAGTTGTTGAATTTTGCTAATTCAGGACATCAGTAGATTTTAAACTGTTTACTGTGTAAAAATTGCAACCTCTACAGAGTTGCATTGTGGGTGCAGAATGTTGTTTGCTGCACTGGTGGAGAATGCACTGGAAAAATACAAAATCCTACCAAGTAATGTTGGTCTAGTTTCTAGTGTAAATATCTTAGTGCATTTGAAATAAGACAAAACTAACTTATTTTTAAGCAAAATATAAGAACTTGCTTTAAATCAATAATTTCTTAATATTGGTAAAAAGATATCAATTCCACTGAAAGATTATTGAACATGTAAGAAGATATTTTTCCCATAAGTGAAATAACCTGCCAGTGATACTACCACTTTTTCATCAATATTAAGGAATTATTGACTCTAAAAAAAAAAAAAAAACTAGAAAATATTACTTAAAAGTTACTCGTAAGTTAGGTTTCTTATTTCAAGTTTACTAAGATATGTGAACTAGAAACTAGACCAAAGTACTTGGTAAGATTTTGCCTCTTTTCAGTGTGAGGATAGGAAATGGAACTTCAAAATAAGAGCATCTAACTGAACGGTGGATGACCAAAACTTCAACATAGATGTTGAACTTTAGTCAACTGAAAGTTTGCAAACCAGCTAAGTAAATTAGCACTTTAGAATTTATCAGGGAAATTAATTTAGGGGAAGCTAAGTGCGATAAACATTTTCAGTTGGTGAAAAAAGGCAAAAGCACTAAATGAAAAATTAGCTAAGCTATTAGACGTGTGTGCACCATTGGAAGATGCTAATGTTACATTTTAACATGTTTGAGAATGTGTGGAGTGTTGTAAAAAACTGAGTCCAGAAAACAAGAAGATTTTAAAGAGCTTCACTATGATATCCAGCGCAGTTTACCGTATGCTAGAAAGTCTAACAAAACGTTTCTCTGCAACTTCCTGTGAACATTTATCCAAATGTAGATGAGAATGTAAATAGTTGAGCCTTTTTGCATTGCAGAAAAAAGCTAAAGTTTTACAATGTAAAATTGTTTTTAGTATCTTGTAGTCACATTCAATGCTAATCTGCCCTTCCTCTGCCTGCATGGCAGCGAATTCGAGAGGGCAGCGTCGCAGACGAGGTGAAGGTGATCTGCGTGGGCGACCACATAGAGTGCATCAACGGACGCAACATCGTCGGGACGCGGCACTACGAGGTCGCCCGCATGCTCAAAGACCTTCCCAAAAACACGACCTTCACCATCAAACTGATCGAGCCCATGAAGGCTTTTGGTGAGTTTGAAACGGACATGTCCAAGATGAAAGATACAGTTTTCATTTTAAAATGACCTTCTGTTACTCTTTGAAGTTTTAAGCATCATTTTCATAGATTGGATCTAACGATTATTCCATTGAATTGATGATTAATTGATTAATTGTATAGGAAAAAATTAAGCTTTTGTCACATTAAAAGATGCAAAATTGATTCAATTCAATTCGTTTTTTAAAACAAAAATATTATATTATATTATTGCCTAAAATGCAACATTAATTATTAATAATAATAATTTGGAAAGGCTTTATTGCCTCTCCAAATATGCAGTTTTTTCAGGAAATTGCCTATTCTTGAGTTTGCGATTAATCGATTACTAAATTAGTTGACATTTATTTCAATAATCGATTAATCATTTCCACCCTAATCATTGTAGTTCTACTATAGATTTGATCTGCAGATTGTTGTGGGTATTTATTGATTGATTGGACTGTTGTGATGTCACAGAATAATTGACTGATCATTTGAACTTTTCTTTAATTTCTCAAGCAAAATTGCTATTTTAGTGAGAACCACAATGATTAGAAACCAAACTGTAAACACCCTGCGAAGCCAAATATACGTTTTATGTTTATCATATGAAGGATTCATTAAAAGTATAACAAGATTTTATCCTTGGAGTAACATATTTTAGATGTAAATGCCAGATAATTTCTTTTTAGTCAGCAGCGTTCATTGTTGCACAGCAGTTATAAATAAAAAGTGACCAGGTGTTTGGCATTTAATGACTCACATCTTAGTCACAGACTAAGAAAGAAGTTTACATAAAACAGTTTTTTTTTCCTTAACGCTTTTCCTCTTTGACAGAGATGCTTGAGCCCAGGTCAAAGGGCAGCAAGCCGGGCAACGACAATAAGATCGGCACGGGGAGGAGCACGCTGAGACTTCGCTCCAAAGGTCCGGCCACAGTGGAGGACGAGGTATTTCATCCTTATTTTGTCCTTATATAACCAGCCACACAGTGATTAGATGATTCACTGCGATTTTAAAGGCTGCTCTGAATATTTATGCCTGAAGTTTCCTCCGTCGGCGGGTGACGGCTGAGCTCTGGTGTGAATGTCTGAATGAATTATTCCACCTTGGATTTGACGTTCTGACGTCAGGTTGTGTTATTGATGCTTTCTAAACTGTGTGGTTTTTATGTCAACTAGATCAGAGTTGGTTAGTAACTAGTTACATTTACTCAATTACATTTACTTGAGTAACTTTTTTTATATAAAAAATTTACTTTTAGAAGTATTTTACTACTTTAGCAAAAATATTCAGATTTCTCAAACATTTTCCCATTTTGTCAACTAAAACTTGTTTCTTTTGTGTTTTTTTTATATTAAAAAAAGTTAATGTTGCATCTGTATTAAGCCACTTTTAATCTCATACCTGATAATAAAGATTTGTATTTATTGGTGTAATTTAGTTTCAGACATAGTTGGGTAGTAATTACATTTACATGAGTAACTTTATTTCTTTTTTTTTAATATACTTCTAGGAGTGTTTTTATTGCATTGTATTTTTTTACTTGTACTTGAGTAATTTTATTATGAGGTATCGCTACTCTTAAGTCTTATTTGACTAAGATTTTTGGATTTTCTCCCCACTGAATGATGAGACACAGTTTTAACCAAAATTCAGTTTCCTAAGTTTTTTATTAAAACAAACTGATTTGGAAAGATTTTCTTTTGCCTGATTTTGTTATTTATATGAATTATTGTCCCTTTTGCTCTTAAAATGCAAAACAATTCCACTCAACTTTGTAATTTGGTCCATCTGATTATGTAATTTTTAAATATTAAATGATTGATCATTTGATCATTTACTCAGTACTTGAGTAAACTTTATACCAAGTACTGTTTTACTTCTGAGTAAAAATATGTCATAGTATCACTACTGTAACTTGAGTATATTTTTTGTGTTCTCTACTCGCCTCTGAACTAGATGCAGCTGTTTGTTGAGACAGAAATCACCTTCATTGTTCTTTAGCGAGGGAATTCAGGTGTATCAGCAGCAAAATGATGGGCAAAATATTTAAACAGAAAATGGAAATAAGCGGCTGTTGGAAAAAATGTCTGAATAAATTAGAAAGTGGTGATATTTCACTGAATCAAAACTGTGATCTTTGCTTCAGATTTTGATTTTTAGCTACTTCCGTTCACTTTGGTTTTGTTTCACAATGTTTTATGGAACAACAGCTCTGAAAGAATGGCAACACTGTTACTGTAGTGCAGTTAATATCATGTTATATCTAAATTTGTCTTCTACTCCTTTTATATCCTGTTAAAATAAATTTATATTTTATTGAAGCAGCATAATCACACTCTGAAAATTAGAGCAAAATCCATTATGTCGTTCAGCTTTTAAATATTTAGTGTGAAAAATATCCTTTTATGAAAAAATAAGTAACCTCCCTTAGTTTTTAGAGTTAATGATGCCATAAACTGGTAAATTTAAAAAAAAAAAAAAAAAAAAACTTTTTTTGACGGAAATTAAGTCACTGGATTTAAAGACGTTAATTTTAATTTTTTTTTTTTACACATCTTTACCAAACATATTGCTCTTTCTAACATGGCATGTCTGAATAAACGATGTTGAACAATACCTTAAAAGTGACACCCATTTCTGTATGAAGAAAAATTAAAGAAAAACACTTTAAATTGTAGGGTGGAAATTAACCTTTTTTTGTTTGTCGTCTTCATAAATGGGAGTTGCGTGAGTGTATTCCTTTAAAAATAACACAGCTGTGACTTTCCACCCTGTTTTAGTGTTTTATTATTACTTGTGCCTTCAAGGAACCTGGACAAAAATATTCTAAACTGTTCTTGTTTTGCAGCCGACAGAATTTGATGAGAAAGCAATAAAGAAAGTAGACGACCTCCTGGAGAGCTACATGGGGATCAGAGACACTGAGCTTGGTAGGAAAATGTTTTATTAGCTCATGAATTTAAAATCACTCCTGCTGAAGAAGTTATTCTCAGTATATCTGTTTAACATGTTAAAAATGTAACTAATTTTTTCACTATTATTATTAATTCAATTCAAAAATACTTGATCAAAAAGAGAAATTAAATGTCAAAACTCAATCACCCAGCTTCCTTAGAGTTGTGGTGAATGGTGATGGATCTCAGGTAGCAGTCAGTCCTGCAGAGACTCCATTGAGGCCTCTGACTGAAAATCGTTGCTTTATAACAATCTCAGGAGCATCGTGCCAGAATTACAGCATGAGTTATTAACAAGCACAGCTAATCCACCTCATTTGCTTTTGCTGCTCCTGTTTAAACCCCCATCAGCGGTGATCTTTGCCCACTTTAGCCAGGGTTATAATAGTTTTATTTCATTCTTTTTGTTTAATTTGGTTAGTTTTAATTAGTTTTTAGAGTGCATTTTATAGTTTTTATTGGTTAAATATTTAGTTTGAGTTTAGAGTTTGTTATAGTGGTAGTTTTAGTTTTTACATAATTTTTAGGTGCAGAATTAAATTTTTTTCAAGAAGATACCATTTTTAAAACACATTTTGTATTTTTATCGTTTTCTCCCAAGCTTTTGCAGATTATTGTAGATTTTGATGACAGTGCTTGTGAAGAAAAAAGAAAAAATCAATTTCACATCAGTTTGAAAGTCTAATATATATATATTCATAAATACAAAAATGAAGAATATATCTATAATTCCAGTATGTAAAGGCTTTAGCCGCCCAAACAAAAGTTTGGTGGAATCAACTGACTCACTCATTCTTTGGTTACCTAGCAACTCACTCTTTCTGTGGTTACCTAGCAACAAGCTGTTGAGTAACTGTGCAGCAACAAACAACTGTTTAGAGTGAAAACTGGATAAAACGGGAAAAGTTACGCTACCAGTTTGGCAGCATTTCAGGTATTTAAAACAAAAAACTAGTTGATAATTAACTACTATGAAACTCTTATATCGTGATACATTTTTCAACCATGTCATCCAGACTTCCTGACAAAAACACATTTTTTGATCCAGTTTTGTGAGGCATTTATTTTAGTTTTTTCTCCCCGCCCCTCTCCAGCTGCTACGATGGTCGAAGTCGGCCGTGACAAGAAGAACCCCGACGAGTTTGCCATGGCTCTAGACGAGACCCTCGGAGACTTCGCCTTTCCCGACGAGTTCGTCTTTGACGTGTGGGGCGCCATCGGAGACGCCAAGCAGGGAAGGATTTAAGTTTTCTGCTGCATCCCTCACACACACACACACACACACACACACACACACACACACACACACACTCCTCTCCCAGAAGCCGACTGTACAAACAGGCAGGCTGGCGTGTCAATAATGAAATTGGCGTGTAAAGATATCTGGAATCCAGTTTCTGACACCGGACCTGCCTCTAGTGTGCAGAACGTTGACTACAGAGTCCAGATGTTGCAGAGGTTTGTCACAGTGGTTATAAATTGCACCTTCACAAACTTAAATCTCCTCTTTCATACTCTGAATCTATTTTTTAGTTGTGTATGTTTGGATATACAGATGTGCGGCACATCTTTTTATAAATTTTTCTTTTATGTATACATATATATGTGTGAGAATGTTGCTGATTTTACAGCAACATTGTGTAATTAGAATGATGCAGATTTTTAGCAATGTTTCTCTCGTCAGGTAATTTTATTTTTTTTCTGGTAGATTACTTGTGATAATTTCTCATCTGTTGTGTTGAAAGCCAAGTTGATAAGACATTCCTCAGTAGCTGCGTTTCCATAACAAACATGTGCAAAACTTTGTCGATATTTCATGAAAAATACAATGTTTACGTTAAATAAGAAACAATTAAAAATAACACATGAATGAGTTTTTTGCACCTGATAACTCATTAAAAACCATGCCGCTCCATCATCCTCCTACCACTTCCTGTCATCTTCTTTGTCGCCCCCACCAGTAGTAACATCCGGTTGTTGATCACATGACTCGTGATGTGGAAAAAGTGTTTCCAAAGCAACAACTAAATCCTAGCGCAAACATCAATGGAAACGCAGCTAGTGTTAGTCTAAAGGGTATATTTACATATGTTTGTCCTATTTCTGTAAATTATTGTCAAATGAAATCGAAGGCATGGCTACAGCGAAGACCTTTTCAGAGCCGTCTATAAATTTCCGTAGTCAGCTGTTTGCAACCATAAGGGATCACTGTTGCTGCATAAAAACAAATAAAATGTAACATATTTTAATCTCTTTTTTTGTCGTGTCTTTAATACACCAAACTCATAAAACGACTCGATACAACAAACTTTTATTTCCACGTGTATAAAATACATCAAGACACATAAATCGGCTTTTCTTTCCCTTATGAGTTTAAAATAAAAAAGACGAGATTGTTCAATCACATGCAGCAGAAACGGAAGAAAAGCAGAACCTAGTACACGTAATATGGCAGGAATATATATGATAAGATAAAGTGAAAGTAAATCAGGTAGAAAGCAGAAGTAAAATACAGCAGAGGATCTTTGGAAGCACGTCGCTGCAGAGGGAGAGAGAATTAAGGGTTTATTTTTATTAAAATACTGTTTATCTTTGGCACAACAGTCTTCAACCATGCTCCTACTTTCTAAACAATAGATTAGCAACTAAAACAAAATTTAAAAAAATAAACCAATTATGACCAAATGAAGCAAATTATCTAATAACGTTTTTCTGATTAAATAAATTTAAGCATTTCTTTTAGTAAGAACTGAGGTTTCACTTAAAAAAAAACCCCATTTATGTACATATGAAATTATAATCATCGACTTGTAAATGCCAAAGGAGTATTTATGCCTCTAATAAAAACATTGAACAGTGTACGCAGCTGGGAGCTAACAAAAGGAACCGTGGCTCAGCTTGACTCGCTTACATCCTCTACAGACACCAAGTACAGTAAATTGCATTGACATTTACTAAAGAGTAACTTATAAACATACATGGTTGATTGATTTGAGAGCTTAGAAAACCATGCAGGACAGGAAGGAACGATCATGCACCCGTGGTTTTAAAAATCGGCTGAAACTGAGCCTACTTTCTACCGTTAGACGTATAAATATTAGAGGGGCTTCGCCAGCAGCTCGTCTAGAGGAAGTGTAGCCCTTACAGCCTCGGTGGAGCCCCGTAGCTCCTCACAGCTCGTCTCCTGTGTGGCCTCGCTTGAAGGCGTCGCCCGTCAGCTTCTCCTGCGCCTCCTTCATCCCAGACACAACTGACGGAGGAACCAGAAAGCAAACATATCAGCGAAGAATCATCCGAGTTTCTGCTTCCAACGCCACACGTTTTACTGTAATCTTTCTAAGTGTGCTTGGTGCGACAGCATTTCAGGGGCTTTGTGGGTAGACAAACGACAGAGTAAATTTCTACAAAAAAAAAGTCCTCACATTTTGAGAATCTCAAAAATGTTCTAAATAAAAAAACCCTGAAAATTTCTGATTTTGAAAAGTCAAACATTTGTGAAGGAAATTTCTGATATTTTTGTTTGACATGTCTAAAAAGTACAACAAAAAACTTAGTTTTCTAAAAAAAAAAAAAAAAATTCTGACCTCCAAACACCCAAAAATTTGCAAGAAAAATCTCTGGAAATTTCTGAGATTTCTGTTTGAAAAGTAAAAAAAAAAAAATCTCAAATTTTTTTAAAGAAAAACAAAAAATTATTTAATTTAACTAATTTTATAAGTTAATTTGTTTTAATATTAAATTCTAAAAAACTCAAAATAACCTTTGACTATTATCAAAAGTTAAAAATTTGAGCATAAACTCAAATCCTTTAAAAAGAAAACATTTAAAATGTCTGAGTTTGAAAGTCAAAAACTTACGAGAAAAAACTCAAAATTTGAGATTAATCTCAGAAATTTTCTACAAACTTATAAATATGAATTTTAAAAGTCAAACATTTTTAACTTTTCAAACTCTGAAATCTCCAAGTTTTTTGGCAGAAACTTTGTTTTGTCTCTAATGGCCCCAACACGCCGTTGTGTCTTGGTTTGTTAATTTTTTATATATATTAAATTGTAAAACCAGTGTAAATTTTGTTTTTCACTCATCTAATTTCCTACATTTTTCAAGAATCTGCTGCACTATAATCAAGTAAACAACTGCATAGAAAAAGTGTGGAAGAAATAAAATCACCCAAAGTACAAAGAATCGCCTCCAGAAATCCTGTGGAACCACAATCAACACTTTCAAGGTTTAAATCGGTTTGTTTGAATTTGCTGAATCAATTTCTTTCACCTTGTTCTGCGCTGCTGTAGAAGTATTTGTAACTGGGATTCCCGTTCTTGTTGGTGATTTCAGGATGAACTTTGCCGCTGGGATCTGAGGACAGAATAAGAGCCACACAAAAATCTCAAATAAACGAAACAATAAAAGTTCATTTTTATTTGATAGTCATTACCTCATCCTTAAGCATTGAGTCAAATGTATAAAAACAATGTTAAATAAAATAGAGCTCATTTTACATCTTACAGATTTAATAAAAGAAACAAGCAACTCATTCAAGAAGGTATTGAATTCACTTTGCAAAAAAATTAAACAATCGAGGTTGGTGGCTACAACAAATAATGTAAATTTGTAGTTAAACGGCGATTAAATTTAAGAAATTTTGCAGTTCAAGTGACTAATCAAAAAAAAAAAAAAAAAAAATTAAATTGGTAGAATTTAGAGCAAAGTTTCCCAAAGTGGGGGTCGGGAACCCCAGCAGGGTCACAGGATGCCAACTTTGAGGTCAGAAGATGATTTTCAGAATCACAGTGAAGTGTGAGCCCTGAGGTTTATGGCAAAATGGGAAAAAACTAAATTATTGTATTAAATATGAATGAATTATGAAATGAATGTCCTATTAAATAACTAAATATCCCCTTTAAATATAGAAATTAAATTAGAAATATAATCTATTTAAAAATCCATGAGTAGAACTACATCCTGCACAACTTTTACACAAGGTGAGAAATACTTACTTCATTATTAAGCTAAGTTCCAGTGCAGTAGAATTGAAAATTTTATTTTTGTTTAACCGGGAAATGTTCGCTTGTTCTACAAAAAATGCAATAAAAACTAATTATCTCTGCAGATATTCTCTAAAATGTTCTCAGACATCTTAATAATCATAAAATGCAAACACTATTTGCAGCTTTTGAACATCTTTCTTGCTGGTTGTTTCTTTCGTCAGACATTTTTGCAGCTTCACTACAAACTGCAGCTTTTTTTGCAGAAACATTCCTGCAACAGGAATCCCAGAGGTTGTTCACCCAGACAACGATTTTCATACCGAGGAAGAGAATTCGAGGAATGTATCCGCCGTCCGGGCTGAAGGCCTGATCCTTCGGCTCCTCTTCATCCTGTTCAGACAGCAGAGACATTTACACACCGACTGCATGGAGTGCGAGCACTGTATGGAGCTAAATTGTGGCCATAAAGTTGAGTTTGTTGCTGATTTTTATCAGTCTTTTTGAAACTGAAGACCTTTTTTTTTTTTTTTTTTTTTTTTTTTTTTTTTTCCCCGGTTTAAAAAAATTTTTCCCTTTTACTTTTTTTTCCCTTTCAATTTTTTTTTTA